ATAAAATAATGGAAAGTTATAATAAGAAAGAATGAAATAAAGAGGGGAAAAGAGAAAAGGATGAAAATCAGAAAATTTATGAGATTATAATGCCAAGAAATTGTTTCGGTTCATTAAGTCGTATACATTTCTTACCATTACCAATTGTAATCTCGTTTTTTAAGCTTATACAGTAAATCTATTGAAAAATGATAAGAGTATGCTAGCAAAAAATGAAACAAAATTTAAAAAAAAAAGTAGGACGGAAAAAAGTAAATCTTTTATTATAATTAAAGTGGTTAGAAGATATTGTGAGTCAAAAGTCGACGGATTTCAGGCCCTGCGCTTCTTGCAAACAAGTGTGGCGCGCCAATCGGTCAAGACACCAATTCAGGACTGGGGATGGGAATATCTGATGCGACAGCGAGCGATGATGCGACCAATCAGCCCACATCTGAAGGTTTATAAACCGATGCTCACTTGGATGGTTTCCGGATTCCATCGTATGACCGGATGTGCTATGGCTGGTAAGCGGTCTGTAACGTTTGAGGGATCTCCTGACATTTCGAAAAATATACGTAATTTTATAAAAAATAGCATTTGGAGAGGAAATAAAACGAGGAAACGAGTGGGAAAGAGGCTATGTATGGGCAGGAAATAAAAGGGGTAATTACTAGAACTCGACTGGGCCCGGGCAGATGGCAATACAGGGTAGAGGTGGTTAAAGGAAGGGGGGGGGAGAGGGGTGGAGGGAAACCACTTCAAAAGGTCGTAACAAGGGGAGGGGTAATTTTGGGCAGACGTAGGTGGGCTGGGCGAGTGGGAGGGCGGGGGAGAGGGGAGGCAGAGGGACGGAAGGCACAGGCCCGGGTCTGTTCATGAGTAAAACTAAAGTAACTCTAATTAGCAGTGTGTTGCAACTCTATTCCTAGTTTTTGCATAGTTCCAGGAGTCTGTCCTAGGTGCGCCTATGTAGGCAGAAGATTATTGTAATTTTAGGCAGAATATTTTTAACGTGAACTTGGCTAACCCTATCCTTCGAAGAAATACAAGTATTTCACGTGAATTCCGCATGGGTATATTGTGGAAAGGAAAAGTGGCTGTACTGGTTTCGCGCAGTAATTAATTAATGCTTTTTACTTGTATGGTGTAACTGCTACTGCAATACCGACCAGGAAAGGCTGCAAATGGCAAGAGACATGCGCCGGAGGCAACGGTGATTAAGTAGCACTCAGTCACCCGACTGAAGTAAATGTGCATCAAAAGTATCTGTTTTTCTGCCGAAAACTTGTGTAAAGGGAGGCGGGGGG